ATCGTACGGTGTCGAATAATTTGGTGTCGAATAAATCTGTGTCGAATCGAGCGGTGTCGAATCGTACTGTGGTCAAACGGAACCCGCCCGCTCATTTATACGCAAGGATTTAAAATATTGAAAATATTAACAGTGATGTTACTAACGAAGGCTCAAGATCAAACACAGTAATAATGCCAATGTATACTCACATTCACACCGAACTTCATCACACGTCCAATTATTTAATTCAACTTGCGTAAGAATATTTTTGGATAAACTTAACTGTTAATACTATGAATAAAAATGATTTATATGCTTATAAGAATGAAAACGGCTTCAACTAATTAAACTTCAAACTTCTATCCTGAAAATTCATTCTTATAATTTCATCACGTGATCACCAGGTCCTGTCCCAGATAAATTAGATTCGTTTCTAAGACCTAAAAAATGACCAACGAGTGAGAAGACGTTAGACAAGTAATATCGGGAAGTCCGTTGACTTGACTACGTCGTTGAACAGTCTCGCTCGACTCGCATGCTTGCCTTATCTCATTAGGTCAGTGTGCCGAGATATAATACACAAAAGTGTCGTGTGTCAAGTTGCGTTCCTCCGTTAGGACCCGATTGTAACCGTAGGTCAGAACGTAACAGGAGAAATTGAGCGGTTTTAACGTTACTTTGCCGGCGAGGGGATAGCAATAATTGTTTACGCTTCTTCTACTTTTGTAAAAGGGAGGAAACTGTTGTACGACGGTAGTGCGTTGCTCGCCTCTCTCGGACGTGAATCCTTGCTACGTTTAAATATTCTTTATTGCGAAGGTTTGCGTCACTATTGCACGATTTTAACTTTAAGAGCGGCGCCGGGGAGCAGGGGATACTGCATTCCTTGCAACCTGCCTTATCGTCCCAAACAAGGAGTTCATCGGTGCTTGCATAAATGTCCGCGTTGTCGCGGTGTGCCGTCGTGCAAATCGGAAGAAGTAAAATTAATTCGATGCGAGCGATGGAAGAGTACGTTTTACGGACGCAAATGTCTTGAGCGTTACCGGGCCGAAAACTCTTACAAAGATGGGCGGTCGAGTGTATGCAGCGCCTTGCAATTGTGTGACGATTGCGGAAACGGACGTTTGTACAGAACAAGCGCGGGGCACGAATGCGGCGTCGTGTTTTGCAATATTTGCAGTTCTCGTTGAGAGGTGAATCATCTTTGATCCATTCGACCTCTCGCACGCGATGATTTCACCGGAAAGGGGAAAAACGCTCGCGTCGCATTCGTCTTTTACGACTTTGAGACACGACAGAACGAGACGCTCGAAGGTAACGCGTCTGTGAACATTCACGTGCCCACTCTTTACGTTGCGCAGGAAATTTGCGTCACATGCGCGGCTCAAAACGACATGACTACGCGTTGTCGGTGGTGAGGTGTTTCGGTGTTTCGGGATAATCCGGTGATCAATTGTTGATTTCGCTACGAGAACGACAAAATGTTTCAAGCAGATCATTTGCATCGCGCACAACGCCACGGCGTTTGACGCGCAGTTCATCCTGCGTTACATCGCGAAAAAACGCGTCGAATAAAATCCTACAGTAATATTAAACGGAACGAAGATCGTCGTATTAACAGTCAAACGTAAGAAAATCATCGATAGTATCACTTAGATGCCGATGCGATTGTCAGCTTTGCCGAAAGCTTTTGGTTTGCGAGATGGATTGGAAAAGGGATATTCCCCGCATTTATTTAACCTTTTAGCTGCGGGAGTGGTCGATATATGGACCACTCTAGAGACATAGAATATTTGAAGTTTTTAGATTAAATTTGATGTTCTGAATACATAACAAATAGTTTTACAATTTCTCAAAACATTCTTGACCTTAAAATACTGATTTTCGAAGTCAAATTTCATTTTTAGTAGAATCGAAGATTTTAGAGTGTTTTCCTATGCAAACTGATGAACTGAATACGAAAAAAATACTGAAAAAAATCACTGACGCATCTTTGACCTTGAAAAGGTACACTCTACGTCACATTTTATTTCTTGCATAAGCGAATGTTGGAGATGACTTTGAAACGTCATTGACGCGTTAAAGTGAGAAAAACCGTAAAAAAATATTCTAAGGAATTCAGAATATTTTTTGACATTTTTTGAGACCCGGCAGTAACTTGCTGCGTTTGTAGTAGAAATGAAATTTGACCTCTAAATCGACGTTTGGCATAACAAGAGTGCCTGCGGGAGTTTTTGTATTGTTTTTTACGTATTCAGCGCATCAAAATCCGTACGACAGCCTTTTCAAAACTCGGCTTATACGAGAAATGCTATTTGACCTTGAAATAGAAATTTTCAAGGTCAGGATTATCAACAGAAATTTTTTTATTATTTTTTACGTATTCAGCACATCGAACTACATACGAAAACCGTCTCAAAACTTGACTTATAGTAGGAATGAAATTTGACCTTCAAATGGTGATTTTCAAGGTCAAGGTGTGACCGGGGTTAGGCGTAATTATGGTCAAGGACTTACTACTTATGATGTTTATCACGGTCGCCAGTTGCTTTCACCTTTTAGCAACAAGGGTGGCCTCCTTTCCTCCGTCTACGGGGATGCTTCTACTCTCAGGATTCCGGGAACGGTAGATATTAATTGCGCACTCGCATAAATAACTGTATGTT